TTTTGACATAGATTGGCAATATTATTGTCAATAAAATAGGTTTCATAGCATAACCTATACACTGCCTGCTTAAATCGAATAATTCTAATATGAAGTAGAGTTAATTCAACTGGTAATTACTTTTGCTTTAAAGCCTAAAAATCTGATATATAATTTACTAGAAGACGATATTTTTCAGATCAGAAATCAAATAAATTAGCAAATCTTGCGTATAAGAGTCTCATATACTTCAAAGATGATGTTTGTTATTGAGTAGACTATCTCAACAGCATAAAAATGACTTCTATATAGAGCAAAGTTAATTCAATTCGTCACAACTTCTGAGTTAAAGTTATTGTGTACTTACGTTAAGGAATTTAAAAGATAGAACGAAATCTCTTAGTATGGCAACAAATTAAAGCTCCTATCCCCTCGATTATAGTACCACACTTCTTTAACTAGATAGTTAGTACGAACGGAGTCTGTACATAGCTTGCTTACGAAAAACACTTCTGGTATAGAACAGAGTTAACTGAACTGGCAGTTGCATTGCTTAAAAGTGCGCGTATAATAATTGAAACTATACTAAAAGATAATATATTTTTGACCAGAAATCAAATAAAGCACCAAATATTCTGTATATTTATGCCATACCTACTAAATGCAAAGTTACTACTCGTATTACGATATAAAATCCGATTGATAATAACCGATAATAGGTTATATTATAAAATGATTCTATGAATGAACGTCTAGCTGAGCAGTTTTCTAGAATTAGTTAGAAGATTTCATGGTTATTATATTGTTTACTAATTTAGTCGTTAAGAATTAGCTGTTGAATTATTAAGATTACTATCCATATACCAGTAGAATAAATAATAATCTGTTCGATCTAGTCAAAAGATGATGCGTGAACCCTAAAACGATTTGTTCATTGTAAATTTATGCACAATATCCGGTTTTAGTACCGTATTTTGATAATTAATAGGTATATACTCTTATTTTCAAATAGCCTACACAATATAGCTTTAACATAACCTATCCAACAACATTATGATATACTATCATCGTTCTTAATATCGTTTCAGCTGATGGCTAAAGAATAGAACTCTGAATACTATAGCTACTAAATAGTCCTTGACTTATTCTAGCAATGTAATGCTAAAATTTAAGTAAAAGATTTTCCTGGTAAGCAAGTTAATAAATGTGGTGATGGATTTAATAAATTAGATGTAGCAGATCAGTTGATTGATTATTTTTTTAATATGAATTAAGAATTTCAGAGGATATGAACTTGATGAGATTATTTATTTTAATGATTCAATTGTTGTGATTACTTTACAAGACGATAGGTTGTAAATTTAAATGTTGATGACATTACCAACGCCTACGACAAGCTACAAGAGGTAATGTAATTGGCGGGAGTATTGGGGAAAATCATTGCTATACCTGCTAAGCTGAAGATTTTCTACATCCTTACAGGCTTATTTAGCCCTCTTAATAACTGTAAGTCGATTAGGCATTGGATGATAGCTAATTTCATTCTAATTATTCCATTCAATTTGGGCAGCTTTTTTGTTTAATATCAGCTGTACATATTCTACTCCACCATCAAATTCATTTTATTTTTAAGCTCGTTACTTTGGCATTTATTTTACTTAATGCTACTTTTTTGTTATATTTTTATTATGACGACTTTAATCTATTTTATTGTATTTATTAAATTCCCTTCTTACTTGAAATTTAGACTATATAATTAGGGATGATCTATGTCTATTTTGGTCAAAAAGTTAAAAGGGAAAATATTCGAAATGTTAATAATAGGAGGCGCTTTTCCAATTTTTTTTTCTTCGATATTTACGTAATAACGATTCTCAGATCATCAATCAAATCAGTCAACAATTCTAGTATAAAATTACGAAAATTATGATCAATTGATGTTTTATAACTATTTTATTGTCTTAATTTTGCATCTTATTCAAGTCAACAGGTCATGATAACCACATAATAACTATAAGGGTGCTTTTTTAACTCGAAAAGATATATCAATCTTGTTATAAGGATATAAGCATTCACATTATAAAGAAGTAGCAATCAAAGCAAGCTGCTATAAAAGATCCTGATGTAATTATTAAATACCGTAGCCAATATTAAGTGTAAACTAAATCTCTGCTGACCAGTGATACTATAGAAGCTTATAACTGCTAAAATACATAAATCAAAATTTTATAGAACAGTTCGGATCTATGATGTATGCGATCGGATCATTTCTAATCTATTATAGCCCGATTTTAGTTGTATTCTTTGGCTGTATTTATCGATCTAGTATAAGAATTCGTTGTGATTTGATGTTCATATAAAAGTTCGATTATCGGAATAGTAGCCTACGTCTGGATGATACTGCAATGGGGCTTACGGTTAAAGTTGTGTAATCTAGTCTATAGTATCATAGAAAGAGAAACCAATAGGCCTTTTATATGCTACTGTACTATTTCGACTAGATTTTACACTTTCCTTCTAATTTAATTATAATCCAATTACATCCATCTATAGTTACTTAAGATGTAGAAAGTAGTCAGATGACTAGGATATTGCCATTAATAATGACGTATAATTAAAGCCAGCGGGTACTAAATATAACCATTTTTTTGTCCTAGATCAGCTATTTTCCTGTCGTCTAGACATTATTAATTGAGTCTGGATTTTAATCCTTTCTTTCTGATTTTTTATCCAAACATATTATTAGTTATAGAACATAGATAAAACGGCTATAATCATTTTTTCGAGAGAATTAATAGTAACAACCCGCTAAAGCTGCATGACCATTAATCATAATTTCCAAATTATAATTATGTACGATCAAAATGTTATTAAGAGCCCCAACCTTGGCATCATTCCTTTTATTTAATTCTTAATTAAAATATACTGATTAATAACAACATAAAACAGGTAAAATAGTCCTTAGTAATGCCTATGTAGATATTCATAACAGTTTACTAGAAGGCTAGAACTAGTTACTGCATTACTTAATTTTTTATTTTACCTTTTCACCTAATATCAACGCGTAGATATCATCTAGATGTGACTGGTTGTGCCTTTGTAAACAATTTTTCATGATGAGCTCGTACGTTCTATGCATAAACAAGCTTTCATAAATCTAGCGATGAGTCTTATTCTATAGGTGACAATTTTTATAGGAAGCCCTATCTTAGATTCTCAATTTCCAAAAGTCGTGATGCTTCTATATGCTCACCTAACCATAATACATAATATGGATTCCTATTAGCCAGCATCGCAAGATAGATATCCTACACAATAATTTAATCAGTCATGCAAAATCATAATTATAATGTCAACAAATCTTTGGTAGCGTAAATTTAACAAGATTACAAGCAATCGGCTCATGATAATATGGGACTTGCCGAGACATATTCTGTAAGAACACGATAGGTGGCCAATAATTTTTTTATTTATTCCATCGAATGAAGCCAAAATAAATAGAATTAATTAATACAGGCTTCGTTATAGCCTGTACATCATAAATTAATTTTGTTTATAGTTTCTAGGTATGACAGCTTTCCAAATGAATACTGGGTAGGAAACTTAGTCATCACAATGTAACACTACCATGATTCTTAAGTATTTTTAAAATAATCTAGTAGATTCCCGAAGATTATAATCGCTCTTTTCTGTGAAACCTTATTGCGGGTTTTGGTATAACAATTATAAATTGAAATACTTTAATGCTTGAGATAATTCTGCGGTTAAATCTTAATAGGTACATAACCTCAATCATTATAGGTGTGGTTCTTTGTATAATTAATAGGCATCTCTAAGTAGGACTCTAATGCAAGTTTATATTATAATGTATGTTGATGGAAATACTTTATTTTCTGAGAAGATACTGCAGCTAGATTTTAATTTGCTCATATACTCGATCGCTATTGACATGACACTATATATGATGTGCAGCTGTTGCAATAAAAGCAGGCAATTAATATGCCCTACCACAGGATAGGAATTTGGCTATTAAACTTTGCATAGGTTAACTTACTCATTTCATTGCTGCCAGTTTCTACGAATTGACCATTGATATCATACAAAAACACCAATAAGATACTAATCGATGCTTATTAAAGTATGATTGATCTAATATATTTTGGCATTGATTCTATATACCTAACTCAAATGTTCAGCTTCAGATTCAGATTATTCAACGTCTGATTAATTATACCTGTCAGTTACCTATGTTATAAAGAGGCTATTGTTACTGTTCGTTATACCGTTATGAGACGAAGCTGGGGATAGCTCATGAGGTACTCTGACTATCAGATAGAGGATATGTTCGATCTCCTAGCTCACAACAACTTGATGATCTTCAGTTAAGTAATACTTTAATTCTCTATTAACTACATTGCCCGTAAATGCTAGCTCTGAGAAACCAACTGACTCTGTAATAGTTCAATATTATAATATTTAAATCCAAGTATTCGTATCGACACGTGCGTACAGCAAGACTGATGCGTCCTTTACGCGTAATTTACACTCTAAAGCGTACGCGATTACAAACTAAGATTACAACATCTATTACATGGATTGGTAATTTATCAGCTCCTACTCTGTCTGAGATATTTACTTTACCTTATAAGATAAATGGAAACAGAGCTTATCCTCTTGCCAATTTCTAAGATGGATCGATTATAACGATGGAGAATAGTAGATTGCGTGTATTTTAAACTTATTAAAAGCTAAATATGTAGTCGACATTCTTATCTGTAAGGCCATATCAAATTAAATTACATGACAAATGGCGTTCTAATAATTAATTTATAAACCAATATAATTTTTAGACTATAAGTCGTTTTCCGTTTAATACAATATCCACGTTATCTTAGCGAAATAGCATTAAGGAAGATCCACACGAATAAAACTTAGCATTTTCGATGTAAAGGAAATAGCTGAGTTTCAGAGCTACGACTATGATATCTCAGTAATCGTATTCCAAGATGATCATCTTAGCATTAGCAATATATCCTAATATCATTTATTGTATGCCATCATTTTATATTAATGTTTACTATTTTCTATTGCATTCTGACCTTAAAATAGCTTTACAAATGAGGAAATAGCTGCATTGATAATCTGAGTGCTGTATCTCAACATTTGTACAGTCTACTTATAATAGAGTCTGCATTTTTATTTCCTTGATTTATACCGGTGCATTTCTAACCGTTCTTGATATATGCACTTGTCAGCCTAATACATTCTTCATTGTACAAGACATAAAGTATTTCTCGTGCACCATTCATTACAATGCTATTCATAATAATTTTACTCATTTATAATAAGTTTTATAGCCAAAAAGGCTTAATATAGAACAATTCTCACACACTGCTATTAAGATATATTTCGCGAGGCAATACTATTTATAAGAATTTTACTCGATTAAAATAAGTTTTAGTAGTCAAAAAAGCTTAATGTACCGTAGCACACTAATAATAATTAACCTAGCTTTATGTTAAAATCATAATGAGTTTTATGAAGATAGATTTGGCATTATAAGTCCAATCATTTACTCCAGCTCAACCAGTTATCTCTAGATAATAAAACTTTTTCTATTACATTATTATTTAGCTATTTTTCTGTCTCCTAATTTCAATGGGAAATCGGACTAATACATTAATAATTAATTATCTAGTTATAAATGATTTTCATTATTAGATCATCATTTATGTAATGGAACATCATTTGTTAATCGATATTTTTAATGACAATTTTAACTGTTTAAAGGAAAAAACTTTGGAGCTATGAAATTCATTCTAGCTGTTCTAGCAATTTTATCGACCTCGCTCTTAGCTCAAAGTAGTAAAGCTTCTACGCTTCAACGAAGAGAACAGGTTTGTATATATGCAACGTAAGCAAAGATTTACTCAATCAATTAGCCACTTAAGTTGGTGTAGGAAATATCTTATCTATCTTGATAATTATGATAACGTAATCAGTTGTTATCTATTGAATATGCTTTATTTTAATCAACCCGGTTTCATATAATAATAGTGGATATAATGAAAATTTTAAATCTATGTAGTATCTCATTTATAGCTAGCTATACCTTACCAGGTTATTATTTGTCTAGTTCTAATCGTCTTTGCGTCAAATTCTTCTCCATATTTTGCTAAATCATCACGTTAAAAGTCTAATTATAACAAATCCATTTCCTCATATTAACTAGAATGTTTCATTAATTAAAGCAGTCTATAGGTGTTATATAAATTGATGAAATTTTAATTTAGTCGTAGTTTATTAGGTTAACGTGAATACTACTTTTGCTCTTCAACATAAATTAATATAGGCACAGAAATTTTCAAAATGACGTACTGAAATTAATACGGAAATGCACATCTTAATGAGAATGATTCTGCTCCATGATATATTTTATTTCTCTTACCTAGCAAACTACAGCGAAAAGAGATACAAAATTTACAGTATGGGTAGACGGCAATCTCGACGATTGTATACTTCCCAGTAGCAAAATTAGATCCTTTTGCAACGTCAATTATATGGTCCCCACCATTCCTTATCGGCGCTATACAGGTTTTCTAGAATCGATTCGAACTTCTTGGCCACTACTTCAATCTTCCTTAAACAGCAGTTGCAGAAATTCTCTGAGAAACACTATCTGTAAGGGATCATTGCCGCGCTGCTCAGATGATCGAACCACCATCATTACTCCCGACTACAGTTCAGGATGTGCAACATCGCTAACCTGCGGTTCCGCTATTCCGTCATTGCAACTCCCTGAAGATTTTAGAAAGTTCTTTTGTTCGGAATCATCAAAGGAATATTCATTAAATACTTGTGCAAAGACTTCTCTTACCGCTATAAATGCCCCAATCTGCGGTAAATTACCTAGTGGTATCCAATTCCCTGCTTGGATCATCCCCTTCTTGCCAACACAGGGTAAAAACATAGACAACTTTAAGCAAGGTTTAACCATGATGAATACCACTAAGGAATGTATTGATCAGTGGATGGAAATAGTCTGTAATAGCCTTCCATACTGTTCCAAAGATGCAAAAAAGGTAGTTACCGTGACTACAACACAGTCTTGCCAAGCTGCAATGAAATGGTAAGTTCGATTCTATTATACGAGTATTTGTATCATTCATCATTATTATGCATTATATGTTCCAATTTTAGCTACGGAAACTTTCATTTTACTGTCACTTTTGCAATTTTACATTACCAGCTGTAATATTGATAAGCAGCGTTTAAAATTACTGACTCTGTATATATCTATTTCAGTATAAAGAGATTTTGAGCTATATCGACAGTTATACATTAATACTGCTGCTATAATTAAATGAATTTTAACAACTTCGAGGAATGTTTACGTTGTAGCATTAAGATTCCTACCTTAGATATCATTTGAACCCTTATTAAATTCATTAAACATCATTTACAGTTGCTACGAATGTGTAAAATCAAGTATTTGTAACTGATGATAGCTTTCCAGTAATTAGGATACAGATACAAATGATTTTATGACGGTTTGCGAGCACTGGCCTCCTATAAAATCACCCAGGCATAATATAGCTTTAAATTACATGGCTTTCAAATAATACCAGAAAACTACTGCTGAAAATAGCGGTTGCATCAAAAACTGAAAATTAATGTAGACAGCGAGAGCAGTTCAAAATACTGGTAATCTGATTTGTTTAAACCATAATGAATAATTTAGTCGTGATTTCATAATTCTGTTACGCAACTAGTCGTATCATGATCATTAGGTTCCTCAATTTTGAGCAGAGAAATGAATAAATCCATTAGTAAAAATATGAATTACACTTTTAAGATCCATCTCAACTTCACACTTTCATCTGCTACATTTTCAAAATGCAAATTATGTCTTGAGCAGTGATACTAGGAAAGAATCATGCTTGTAGGAGAAAATTGATTCTTTTCTATATTAGTATATGTCAAAAAGAGTAGTAAGATGTACTTTTAATGAGTTTATTTCTTTATTCGAGTAATTGAGCTGGTGAATCAACATGAAAGCTAGCCAATATCTGGTACAAACTAAACTTTCATTTATCATTCTTTTCTATATTTTCATTCTATAGTTTATCGCCCATTGCGAGGATCGTATTTGAGAGTATGTATGTCTGCAGTGGATTTCCAGATAGAAATGGTCAGAAGATGATGATATCCTCCGACTACGGTTATTCCTACGCTACAGCAAATAATGGAGCTTTGAAAGTGAACAGCAATATTTTGATAGTAGGACTACTGTACTTGCTATCTTGGATTTAATAAATTTAAAATATTTACAAGATATTGTCTGCAAAATTCTGGAATGATCAGGCCTGCTTCTCATAGGACAACTTATTAGTATTTAATATAACCCTAAGGACTAAGTAAATATATGATTGATCTTTCTGTCATAATATGAGATTTTGACTTTCTACGATATTTTAAAGAGGTCTAAAGTAGTAGAATTAATCGTTGCTGCAATACCATCGATATACTTAACTACAAAGATGGTTAATTAAATAAAAATATTTGAATGATACATTCATTATGTTATATAGAATTGATATTCAAAGAAATTGGGGCGAGATTTTTACTAGAAGGGTAAATTATTGCTCCAACCCTATCGATCACTATGACTACAAAATCGGCCAATTTAATGTATAATATTGATGGATCTTTCCATCATGCTATACAGTATTAACATTCTACGAAATTCTAAAGAGGTCTGGACTAGTAGGATGAATCATTGCTCCTACCTATCGCCTGTACTATAATGACGAAGATGTAACTCATTAATTTTTAGCATGCAATTCTGTATCACAAATTTACATATTGCAATTTTAGACAGAAATATATTAAGCAACACAAGAGAAATTTTCGTAATAGCTCTCAAGGCCATTTCGCTTACAGGATTAATTGTGTGGCTGTATGGTATAAAAATATTACAGGGCTAATTGGTCGACTCGATCTTGAATGAAGATGTAGTAATATATCCAATTAGGATTCTAATTGATAAGCCTCTTTCTGTCTAATGACTTCGTGATCCAAATCTCTTGTTAGCTATTTTTTCTGATTTAAATATTTAATAAGAATTTGCACGATATTGCTATAGCTGTCTCTGTGTGTTTATACCTCAGTCTACACGTTAAGAAAAAAAGAAATCTGATACTTATACCTGATAACTAATTACGGCAAATTCTGATCAGAATTTATAATGCAATGGCATGAGAAATTTCTGTGATCAGCTCCCGATGCCCTTTGATGTATCCTATCTAATAGCGGCGCCATATAAGGTTGCTTTGTGATCATCTTTTGAAACTGGCTTGAACCATTGTAGTTGTAAAGGAAATTTAATCTAGATATTAAAGTATTATATTAAAATCATTTACTGTCACTATTCTATTAATACCGATTGCATGTAATGCCCCTAGTAACTTTAAAATCTATCATGAAGCCAATTTTTCGAATAGACCTACTAGAATAATAGTGAAGGATATACCCCGGGGTGTAAAGAACGGCAGTAGTAATTCCAACCCACGTTGAAAATGCTAACCAGTCTAGATTTACATATTAATAACTTTACTTTTCACAAATTTATTTAAAAATTTAGGGTCGTCTTGATATTGGGATAACGAAGCAAGTCGTAGGAAAAGTTGAAATAAAAAACAGAGTTTAAGCGTAGTATTAGTGGTTTATCCCTTATTATGGATATTTATACAGTAGAAGCATTAATATTATATGATACGGACATAATTTGTGATAAAATCAATTAGCGATTGCGTAACATGCGTACAATGAGAGCTTTTATTAATGATATTATGTAAATTTTGAGAACAGCCACTCTTTGATTATCATATCCATCACAATAATAGCCTCGAAATCTATATAGATGCTTTTTGTAAGTTTATTATCGTTTGATCAAGGCTCAAAATTTATCAAATCCATTTGAGAAAGTGGTTGTTATAATGATATTATCGACATTTTCATAAATGCTTTTAACAAGTATTATGCTATTTTATTAAAGCTCAGAGAACATTTTTACTTTTTATCAACTATATGAATCAGATTATATCGTCCAACCAATACAGTTGCTGTTAAACTGTACTTACAGTCTTCCAATTATCGCTAAGATTCATTTGATTCTATTCTATCAAAACTACCAAATCACTACGAGTTTAATGAATACTACGATACTTTTACTACATTAAAATACCACTAATATCAAAATTTTATACACTAAATAATCATGTATTAGCAGAATATTGCTCCTTATTGTAGGGATATTATTAAGATAAGATACTGATTATTACTTACGTTTTATTTGAAACTTTAATGAATAAAAACAGTAATAAAGAAAAAGTCATAGTGGGCAATCTAATTCAATTTCAAATACTTTAAAAGGACTACAACTGTCGTGCAGTTTTAATTGTTTGTATTTCGTGGATTGGATCTGATTGATGTGGTAAATTTAGTATTTGCGATAGAATTTTACTATTTCTAATAAAGTAAAGGCTGAAGGTAATCTTTGCATAATTAATTTCCCAGAATACTCTTCAATTCATATTTGGGGCTGTAGGCTGTAATAGAATCATATTTCATCACTTCTTTTAAGTAAACAATAAATATTGTGATAAATTGAAAATTATGACAGTTATCTTTAGTTGCCAATTTTTACTATATATTGCGTAGTTTATTTGATGGAGAAATTATTTTATTTCCTGATAATTAATCAATATCATCACGAAAATCAAATATTTTCACTTGATAGTCTAGTTTTTATATGTATTTAAGGAATGCTAATAAAATAGCAGGAACAATTAGCTTATTTATTTTACGGTATCATATTTATATATAAGTAATACTATGAAGAAGTTTTCTATATCTCGACTTTAATTTACAAAGATTTATACCGATGATGTGATTACGAGAAATTTGAATAATTTAGGTTACTTGAATAGCCGTGTCTTTCTGCTTAGCGACAATAATGTAGATCAATTACCCCGGAAATAAAACAGATGGAATATTATATAATACGGGGAAAGATCGCATGTGATTTCGGTATTGACGAAGTAAGTCATTTTAGAAGAATTTGTTTTGTTCAAAGCTGAAAGAAATCAATTGCCTTATTGTAATATCGCGTGTGTTATTATCTTGTGTAAAATAAACGAAATTTTTACTTCTTATGTTGTTGTATCGTCAATGAAACCAAATTAAATATTTATTGCTATGTCATAGAATCATTTGACTGATCAAAATTGAAAGAAAAGAAAATAACGCAGTTATATTTTTCTTAATTATTGGGCTAAATGCTGTATAGTATACTTTCGAATCGATGATTATAATATTTTATGTTAGTATACCATGAGTTAATTCTTTGAAATATTCTACGAGCTCGGTACTCTAATTTCCTCATTATCCTTTCAATTTTAATAGAAGAAGATCACGAACAATTTTGAAATTCGCCTTGCTTTGCAACCCTTGAATGGTCGATTACCATATTCTCTAATTCTTTCATGCTATATTGGCATCACTATAACAATTTTGGATACAGAATAGACATTTTTATCTGATACCGAAGTATTCTCGCGACTTTAAATAGAGATGATCGTCGGTAAGAATTAAACCATCACTACTGCAGCCCTTGTGCAAGTTAATGTTGCAGGACATTAAGCACAGGATAGTAAACTGTATTGGGGTCTTTACATTTTGGCTTTTTATTCAAAATATCATAACCGTTATTAACTATCATGAACAAGTCTTTTAATACAAATCTTTCAGGAAGTTCTAATATTGCCATCATAGTTTCACCTTTGGCCATGATACTTATACCTATGACGATATTAGGGTTGGTGTTAAATCTCTTCCTTGCAGTTGTTCTTTCTCTGGATAAATGTTTTAATAATCGAATCTATCGCTTAATTCGAATCTCTCTCATATCAGACATTATATCGAACTTAACCTTAACCATTAATTACTTCTTTACCTTAACTATGAATACCAACTATCGATTAGCAAAGCTGTTATGCCAAATTATATTCTACACTACTACTAGTTCATACGGAGTATCAATCATGACATTATGCTTAATTGCTACCGATCGTTACTTAGTCATCACTAAACCTACTACTCGATTGCACCTTTCTACACAACAACATTTTATACTTATTGGACAAATTTTCGTCTGGATTATTTCCCTAACGACTGCAGTCCCAATCATTAATCTAATAGATGTTTACCAGAATGGAGCTAATTTCTGCGATTTTCCAATCATAACACCAGCAGTCTCAATTTTTCTCTATCTACTTACAACAACATTATACATACTACCGATGATAATCATAGTCTTCATGTACCGAAAGATCATCCTCTTTACTAGAAAGTATATTAGGCCTGTCAATTTTAATCATGAGCAAGAACATGATCATATTGCTCGTCGAAAATTTGTCAAGATGTTAATAACAGTTACCTCATGTTATGTTTTAATGTCCTGGCCATTTTTTGCTACATTATTAGGTATTGCTACAACTCGAGTACCTATGCAACGTTTATGGAGTGTGAATCAAATTTATTTTTTATTAGCTTATTTCTCTTTTTCAGTTACGATTGCAATTACTATTATCAATCCCATCCTCTACCTAAAGTTCGATTTGCGCATTAGAAAAGCATCCAATTTACTTCTAAAAGGATTCGTTCCTCTTAGTCGACAATCCCATCCAATGATGGTTATACCACGTGGCAAATAATTTACTAGTGATAATAAAACAATCTTCACGGTCCTATTCTAACTACCGTTGTGAATTTAGTATTGTATTGCACAGTTCATTTAATTATATATTTAATGTAAAATAATATTTGGATTATGCGTTATGATTACCCTCGTTCCCCTATAGGACAGTAGATACTTTGCGATAAAGTATCATAGTCCTTAGTTAAGTGATGAACGCATTGGTCCTTAATCGTCGTATAATATAATATATATAGGCGAAAGCAAAACAGCAGCTCGATTTTATTCTGTCCAGTTAGTTCAGTGAGTTGCTAAGTTAGTTAATCCTTTAAAGACTAAATTAGTCGTTCAGAACGTAAGGTTGCGTTATGATAAGAATCCATACTATAAAAGTATTTCATTTTTCTATTACGCTGAAGAGATTGTAGAAGAACTAATCGGAGAACCTCAGCTGTTAATCGAATTTGCAATGGAGTTACAAAGATTACAACAATGATATCAATTTCTTTTCTTTGATTACTGTTATGTATTATGTATGATATGTTACTAAGTCTTA